GGGGGACATCACACTACAGTATACTAAAGGAAAGCTACAGTTGAAGACTTACAAAGAGAGAGCTGAACAGAAGACTACCCGGCTGATAAAGTTTATACTTTTTCAAAGTGAGCACATGATGATTGAGTTAATGTTCTTCTGACAGAGAGGCTGGCTGATTTTTCCAAATTGTTTTGTCCCCCCCCCCCCAAAAATGGCCATTAACATTGTTAGAAGTTAACTTGTAAGTAACCCTGGGCCAGAGACAATCCTTTTATTTGGATTATGCATGAACATATAATCAATGCTTAAAAATAATGGAGGGAAAAATAGGCCCCCCTTTTCATAATGGCTAGCCTCTTCTTTACAAGAGCAAAACATCTGACCCAAATAGATCAACAGGAACTGCCAATTAAGTAGTCTGTAAACTTTGTAATAAGCTATGGATTTTAGCTGTACGATTCCCATTGACATTAGCTAGAATTAAGACAAACACACAGGTTTCCAAGATCTGGCTCTTAAGTAATCCCTATACCGGAGCACTGACTTCAAGCAGACTACTAGTCTGAGTACAAGTTTACAGGATCAATCCCCTAGAGAAAATACTTGGCTCTATCAATACTTCAGACAAATATGAAATGCTAAGTACATTCTATAGCACCTTTTAACCAAGGTGTTAATAGCCCTTTATAAAACAAAAAAGCCTTTTAAAATCCATAGGCAAAAAAATTCTCATTTAGAGAGTGAACTGAGGCAAGGAGGATGAGTAACTTCCCAAAGGTCATACAAGAAAGGTATAGCCAGTTAACTACACACAATTGAAGCTCTTGGATAATAGAGCAAGTTAAAGAAAGCATTTAGGTTATAGGCCATTTGGACTGTACAATGACAAAGTAACAGAGCACTGTAGTTTTGAAAAATATGTACACTTCAAAAATCCACTGAGAGGTACAATAGGGAGTAAACAGCTACCGCTACCAGCAACCAGGCATTAATTCAATTGCCAGCTCCATCAAGGTGTGGTTCAGCTAGTCCTTATCTATAATGAGACTGGATTCTCACACTACGGGTTTACCAGCACACCAGGAGCAATTCTCTTAGTGGCAGTATACACCAGCTGCAATTACCTTATCACCATGTGCAGCATTAGATGATGTAGTGTAGATCACCTACAGGCATCTTTACTACCATTCCTCCAACATTGCCAGCTCTGCTGGAGCTGCAACAGTGCTTGACCAACCAAAGGAGAATATCTAAGTGACTCATTTTAGCATGGTATATCCACAGGAGAGAGGCAGATAAGATGGACAAGTGCAATGAGCAAATACATGGAAAATAAATGAGATGCACACAAAAGGACATAGGGATAGAAAAACAGTACAGAAGTGGGAAGGTTTATACTGCTATGGATAAAGTGCTCTCAGCGGTCTTCTAAACAAGGTTTTATTTTAGATCCATGATTGGACATATGAATGCATGTGTGCATGGCCATGTTGAAAGAACAAACAATGGAGAGCTGCAAAGCCGAGCCACACTGGAGGCTAAGGTGACTGCTCAAGCATTCAGAACATGGACTCAAGCCTGTTCTACACTAATAAATTGACCTGTTACTAAAAAATGGTTGTTGGGAGCAGATCCCCTTGAACTGATGCTTTCCATACTGGGGCTGCAGTTTATATGCTAGCCATTAAACCATTTTCAGCACTGGTTTAGAGGAACCTGTTACTAAAAGTCATCTTTAGCAATGGGTAAAATTCCAAACTAGAGGTAAAACTCACTGAAGAACTAAGGAAGAGTTGACTGCTTGGAATTCCCATTCAGTAACTATTTTAAATTTAACCAAGTTACCATGAACCATCAATACATAGATTTAATGCATTATATATTTTGGGAACACAAACCACAACTGAAAATGACGCAGTTTGATTTTTAAACAAACATTTCTCCAAACTGTTTCAGGCACTATGGTAAGGTGAATTTTTAGAAGTATTTGTTAACTGCTACGTACATTAAAGGGATTTTGACTTTTTGCTTTTGGTGTCACAATTCACTAGTTCCAAACTAACTGGTTCCAGTTATTCAGAGTAAACAATTTAATATACAATCCTCAGGCTCTCTATACACATAGTAAACCCCACCAGTTCAAAGTAATACATAACCCCACCATGCCCCCAACAGGCACAAACTAAGCAATAAAATACAACAGCAAGAAATATATGAAGTGCTAACACAAGATATTTGCCAAAAAAAAAAAAAAAAAAATGCTTGGGGGTGTTTGGCAGGAAGAGGTAGCAAAGGATGATTTCTACCACATCTAAGGTAATCTTTGTATTTCTCTCTTACTGCAACTAGGAGCCAATCATTTAACAGCAGATTTTAAGTCAGGTGATAACGCTTCAAAGAATAACCTCAAGCTCAGGGCATATCTAAGAAGTTAGTGACCACAGGGCATTCAAGGCCCTATTCCAATACTGGCCATCTTTCCTCCCAATTGGAAAGATTGCTGTCCTTGTTATTGCTCAATTAAAAATTAAGCAGCAGACACAGGAAGACAGACTCACATAAGTAAGCATTTATTCAAGAATCACTTAACATGAAATTATACAAATAAAATTTGTATAAACACAAATCCACATTGTGTCATAACACAGATGGCAAAAAGGACAAAGTAAAAACCATAAAGAAAACTAATCAGCCGCTATATACAGTTGGACACTGTTGTGTCATACTCTAAAAAGTCTTTTGTAAAAGTCATCTCATGTCATGAAGACCACCCTCCATTCAATCCTGATGTTCTGCAAGATGACTTCGTCGTGGTATCGCCACCTAAAAACAAGACAAAATAACAATCAGATCTGTGCAACTTTTATAAGAATCGTCAAAAGGTCCATTTTCATGAACTGCTTTAAGTCCTCTATTTATTCCTTTCTTCACTGTTAAAGATCATATGCATATTTAACAAATTATTATTATTGAGTAACTAAATCTTTCGTCTCCCCAAATATAGCAGTTCAGCCCATTCAGGAAGCTGTTTCAGAACAACGATTCTCCAAATTAGGCAAGAAGTTGCAATTTGTGTGTCACAAACTGGGCTGTGGAAAAAGTTTCCACTAGAAATGCTGTTAAGTATGAAAACAATTTGTCTGCAACTTTATTCTTGAATGAATATTGCCAAAAACATGATTAGCCTGATGTAGTTTGTGTGCATATGATCTTTAATTTTTTCCAGATTTAAAAGTTCGTTTTGGTTTGCAGATTTCACTATTAGCTATAAAAAGAAAAAGCAAGCATTAAATCTTAACGAATGCACACTTAAAATGAGGCTCCACAATTGAAATACAACACTAAACAGAAGACCAAAATGATTAAGCTGTAAAGGCATTTATGTACTTTAACTCCTGTAAAAAACCATTTAAGTTAAGACACTTAATCTTCAAAAAGATTAAAAAGAAGCCAAAGTCTGAAGTTTTCCACTTTAATCTTTACGCTGGTACATGAAGTTGGAAGAGACCATACCACAGGACAGCGTTTTCTGGTGTATGCCTTGCGCTCTGCCTGCAACGTGCGACCCCCAGAGATAGACGTGGTCAGGGTGACACACGGCCTGCAATGAAGTTCCCGCTGGCGGGTACAAACAAGGTATAATGTCAGAGTTAGAAGACAACATTCTTGTTTTCCTTAAGTTGTACCCATTTCAGTACTTTACCTGTTAATATTTCTAATAAGTTTAATTATTCCTCTAGACCACCTGGTACACAACGCAAACAGAAAAACTCTTAAGTTTTTCTGAAGTACTAAAGAAGATGAAATCACATTTTACGAAGTTAAAGATCTATAGACACTTTAGGCAAAGCATGTTTTAAAAAAAAATATTTTAAGTTAACAAAGTTCAGTTAAAAAAGTCAGACTACACAAGAAAAATGTTTTTACTCATTTTAATTTGTCTATTGATCTTTAAATTAGATTAGACATACTGAAAGTGGTCCTTGCACTCATATACACACCTGCTGCCCCCCCAAGTACTATGTACTGCTTTAATATGGCTGGTAGTTGTTTTGGTGATTGCCGCCACCTCGGGATGCTTTTCCGTATGTGCTTTGTTGACCTGTTGAGAGAATGGAAAATTAGTTTTCACCGTAAATTTTGATTAGGACACAAGCCTCTCATGAGCCATCCCCGCAGTACCCTGCATAGTAGTTTACAGCTTTATGCAATACTTTAATGTTTGTTTATCCACACTTGCTTGTGGGATGCAACAATGAAATTTACTATACACTAGAATATTAAAGTCATAGATATTAAGTATTGATGTAGAACACTAAATGTATGTGGTGTTAAGTCAAACATTCTTACCACTGTAGTCTGCATATCCCTGTCCATATCCATAGCTTGGATAATTGTAACCAGAATAATCATATCCACCATAACTACTGTAGCTTGGATCACTGTAAGTGCTGTTGTAATTTCCATATCCTTGATCATAATAGTTATTAAATCCTTGGTTCCAGTTTTGTCCCTGGCCTGAAATAAAGCATAGCAATTAAGCTCCATCCCTCTTAAAAAAAATAAGTTTTAGTGTGTGTGTGTGTGTGTGTGTGTGTGTATATACACACACACACGTGAACTGTGATCTGTCATGGCTACAGGAAAGAGTCCCATCACTCTGCAAGTATACAACGGTTCTAAAAACACAACACCAAGACATCTAATTTCAAAACATTACATGAGATGCAAATCTTGGGGTCTCTTCTTAATTTACTCTAATAAACACTGTTACATAAAAAATGAAAGATGAGGCAGTCCTATTAATAAAGTGCATGTGAACCACACAAAGGGCAAGCACAACTTGCCTTTTGTCTAAAGAAACTCCCACTTCCTTTAGAGCTCTTTTAATATGAATCTTCATATCCTACATTATCTTAACATTTAATTACAATATGAAGACTAGTTTTGTTCTGTTCCATTAACAGTGACTCTATCTCAGTACTTATCGTTGCAAAGAAGCAAAACATTCAATATGTTCGTGATGTTGGCAAAACTGCTTTCCTTTCCTTACATAGGATTACTTATCTTCAATCCTGCATTATATCTGGCTTTCCTCTGGCAAATATTTAAGAACTGTCAAAAAGACAACATTGCTCCCTTCCTGTTTCAACAGAATGAATACATGCAACTTTCAAGTAAGTCTCAGACACCTGAATTATGCCTTTTAAGGAATAGCTTCTAAACGGAGGAATGTGCAATCTGTTGGCATTTTTATACACAAGTAAAAGGTTCACTAAATCAGTGCACTTGTCAAGATTACAATTTTAAAATGAGTTTTGGTTAAGTCAGTATAGACCAACCCAGCTTATTTTCCGCTCATTGGTTGGCCATGTTCATGTTTGTTAAAAAAAAAAAGCTCCAAAACATAGAAACTAGAACTTAGAAATAAATACTCATCCATACACATATAAGTAATACGAAACACTCACCCCTGCCACGCCCCCTGCCACCACCTCTGCCACCAGAAGAAGCACCTCTTCCACCTTTCTGTTGTTGCTGCTGCTGCTGCCTATACACTTCTTTGGGCTGTGCTACTTTGATCTCACACTGTAAAAAGGAAGGTATTTTTTAATTGTATGCCAGGACTGACAGGCACCATCAAAACAAACACTCTTACTCTCAGGAACCCATTTAAAAATCTGTAAGAACCATCAACATTAGAACATTCTAAAGAGAAACCAAAACATCCATACATACCTTGCCAGAACCGATCTGATGGTATCGGCTTTCTAATAATTTTTTTACTGGCTCTTCATCTGTATATGTGATGAAACAAAAACCCCTCCTTTCATTTGTCTTTGTGTCCATGGGAAGTTCAATATTTTCAATCTGTAAACAAAGTTAAACATAAACCATATCTACATTATACATCCCACATAAACACTGCAGTGGAAGTCAATGGTCAAAAGTTAATGCCAACAGTAGAAACATAATGGTCTCTCTTAAAAATAAACCATCCCACCTCCATTTATAAACTATCAAAATATTACAGAGCTATTTATATGTTAATAGGAAACAGTTCTAGTAGAACTCTGTTAGGTTAAGATGGCCCGCCAGGATCCCAAGTTAATCTTAACTACTTATTCTACTGCAGTACAATTTCTGCATCTTGTCCCAACAAAGCAGCATTACAACTTGCAATTAACAAGGAAGCAGCCTTCTCACAACCACCATCTTTTCACATCTCAAATCAGAGACAGCCCTTTCATTAATACCCTGCCACACCAAGACTGAACTTTAATGTCCAATACGGATGTGAAAGTGTTACAAATGCAGTTATACCATACCTCTCCAAAAGCACCAAAATATTCTTTAATTTGTTCTTCAGATGTATCTGGACTCAGTCCACCAACAAACACTTTTTTGGGTGGCTCTTTTCCCTTCAGTGCTTTTGCCCTTTTAGGATCGATTAACTTGCCATCCAGTTTGTGTTCCTTCAGTTCCAATACCTAGAAAATCCACAGGACACAAGAGTTTCAGAAAGCCATGAAAAAACGAATGCATACAAGAGCCAACTACACAGACCCTACATACCTTGTCAACACTGGCAGCATCTTTGAAGAGCACAAAGCCAAATCCCCTGGACCGCCCAGTCACTGGATCTGTTTTAATTGTGCAGTCCACCACCTCTCCAAACCGAGATAAATATTCGGTCAAGTCTTTCTTGCTTGTGTCCCAGCTGAGGCCTCCTATAAACATTTTACTACAATAGAAAAAAGCATATAGTTAATTAAGAGCAGAATATTTTGCTAATCACTTCAAGTGTCAAAGAAACTAGAATACCCAAGTGGTAATTTTTCCAGCAAGATCAGCATCATGAATTGAAAAGACACCACTCTCGGGGTTCACTAAACTGATTTCCAGGGCCTCAAAGCTGACCTTTACATAATTATACCAAACTATATGCATGTTATAAAGTTCTCAGACCCCGACCCTGCAAAACACTTATGCGTGCGCTTAACTTTAACCCCATGAATCCAGCACACGGTAGTGAAATGAATCGTACCCATAAGTGTTTGCAGGATGGGAGCTGGTTACGAGTGAGCCGAGTACCTTTGCTCTAATACCACCCAGGCATGAGGTTTTGGGCTGCGGCCTACCCGACTCGGCCCATTGCTAACGCACTCGGAGACACTGAACTCCCCAGGACGCCCGACAAGCTACCGCCCGCTCCCCGCAGACACGGCCAGCCAGCGAGCTGCGTCCAGAGGCCCGCCCGCCCGCGCGAGTCAGGAACGGGACTCGGGAGCAGCGTGGCATCGCCGCGCGCGCAGCTTGTTCCCCAGCCCGCCCCGGGCAGCCCCCTCGCGCTCTACCCCGCCTCCGATTGGCTGCCGGTTACGTCATGGCCCGGTGATTGACAGCACCCCGCCCTTCGGAAAGCAGCTCGACGGGGAGACACAAAGAGAACGCGAAACGTGCCCAAGTGGGACCCCCCTCCCCCGCCCGCCCGCAGGGAGGGGGGCGGGAGGAGCGCGAGCGCCCCCCGTGCAGGGGCTGCAGGGAAGGGGCGCCCTCCCCCCCGCCACCGCCCGGCCCTTACCCATCGTCCTGCTGGTTCTTGCTGGCGTTGATCTTGGAGCCCTCGGCGAACTCCTCCAGGCCGCCGCTGTACTCGGTCATGTCCTCCATAGCGGGGGCAGGCTACGAGAGCTGGAGACGCGACAGAAAGCTGCACCCAGAAAGCGGGGCACTAAAATGGCGGCGGAAGAGATCCGGGCACCGCCTGCGCCGCCTTTATATACCCTTTCCGGCAGCCAATCAGCGCAGCCCGGCAGCGCAGGCGCGGTAGCGGCTCCCGGAGGCCCAGGCGGCGGGGTTGCGGGGGGGGGGGCCGCGCATTGCCCCGTGTGATGGAGCAAGGCATGGGAACAGCGTAGGCAATGGCGGCTGCACGTGGGCTTAGGTGACCCAGGCGGGGAACGGGTGACACCAGTCATCCCGGCCTCCCCGCCAGGCAGGGCACATGAGCCCCCCACCCTCCTCTGCCCTGGAATCCCCTCGGCATGATGCTCCTCTCCCTGGCAGGCCGCAGTGCCTGTCTGTGCATTGCCTGCCAGCGACCTCCCGGCAACGCTCATCCCTACACGCCCTTCGCCCGCTGCTGCGACTACTGCGGGGGGCTGCTAGTGCATAACGAGATTCCTGTGGGTGCTTCCAAGAGCCCCACAGCGCCCCCCTCCCCCCCAGAGAGAGCAGTGTGCCCCCTTCCCCATAGATTCGGTATTCCTTCTCCCCTGTGTACAGAGAGGGGGAGGGGATCCATGCAGACAGGCAGCAAATGCCCCCCGGCGCCTATCCCCGCAGTTTAAGCAGCCAAGCAATCTAGGCCACCCCTCCCATCCCGTCTTCATTATTGCGGTAGTGGGAGAGGGAAGCAGCTAGTTCTGCACAGTAAGTCAGGAAGCCATAGCTGCAGCCGGCTGCTTCCCCGCCTTTCCGATCCTACTTTCTGGTCAGGTGGGAAATACAGACCTCTCTCATTATGCAACCCTCGCTGCATGTCGACACAGCTGTGCCACTGGGAACCTACAACCCAGGCATCCATTTAATGCAGCCACCAGACCACTTCTGCCTCAGAGAAATGAAATCCACTAGAGAGGGATCTCCATAGGGCAGGAGCAATTCAGGGCCAAGTTTAGCCCCCGCATTTGCGTGAAGGGCCGTCTGCAGCTGCAAAGCCACCGTGTGAACAAGAGCCGGCTCTTAGGATGACGGGAGAGGCTCCTTTCCATGATGCTTCCTGGGCGTACCGCGGCCGGATAAGTATGGAGGAGAGGCACGGCTTTACGTGATTGCAGGAGGCAGCCTTGAGCCCTGTATACTACCTTTCCCCCAGCGTATCACGCATGTTATGCAACTCGCCTCGTACTCGCCATCATGCACCCTAGGACTTGTGCCATGCCATTTACTTGCACCCCACCTACTGTCCCTTTCTCGAAGCTGTTAGCCTCTCCCGCCCCCCTTTGTACTGCACGCTACAGATCATGCCTAGGACATGCGTTAGGCGGCTTTCCGCACATGCCCCCCCTCCTCTCTTTGTCGCCGCCGCCGCCCTGCAGGCGCATTATGACGGCCAAGCCCCGCCCTTCTTTTCTCACCCGCCAATCAGACGGCAGTCAGCCCCTGGATTGGCGCAGCAGCGCCCCCTTCCCCCCACGTGCTGCGCTTCCCCGCTCAGCTGCCCGGGCTGCGCGCGGGTTCCGCTCGCGGCGCGCGCTCTCTCCCCTCCCCTCCCCGCCTGCAGAGCCGTGCCGTAGGGTGTCCGGCCGGGGGCGCGCGGCGCTGGCAGGGACCTGGCCCGCGCGCGGCAATGGTGGTGTTCGCGGTGCCTGCAGAAGTCGCTGTGATCCTGCTGGATATCGAAGGCACCACCACGCCGATTGCCTATGTCAAGGTGAGCGCTCGCGGCGCGGGGAGGGCAGGCAGCTCGGCGAGGCGCCCGGGCTGCAGGCAGCAGAGACCGCGGGCAGACTAGCCCGGAGGCCGGGCGGGTTTTCACAGGGCGGTGCTGGCTGCTGGACTCAGAGAGGTGGGGTCTGCGTCGTGGGGGAGGCGATGGGCTTCAGGCTGGCTCGCGGAGCGGTAGCACGTGCGGGGTCTGTCTAAAGTGTTCACTTGTTTTGCAACTCCCCTAAACGTTGCACTGCAACAATCCTATAGCACTGCCACATCTACCCCCCTTAAATGTAAATATAGACACATTTAGAGAGACCACTAAATCTAGTCCAGCCCTTGCTTCTCACACAACACCTACGTGTTAGGAATAACATCTGAATAGACTTTTACCATCCAGCCACGGTTCTGCACCCTGCTACATAAATGCAATTTGTCAAATGGGAGTAGATTACTTTTACTAGAGTGCTAGCCTGCCACATCAAGTATTCAAGAAACCAGGTCATCTGTACATGCCTCAGGCCCGGTTTTGTGTGCTAAGCTCTACTGTGGCTTAGCGCACAGAACAAGAAGAGTGAATTGAAAATAGGTTAGTGGTTTGGGGTGACTAGTATGGAATTCCTACGCAGCTGGTGGACATGTACTTTAGTTTATTTGATTGAGTTTTTAATATAAATTTTTGGATATAGCATTAACCATAGGTCACTTTAAGAACCTTGTCACTTTGGATCACAGTTCTAGTTCAAAGGTTATTATGCATGCTGCTCTGTCAAACTCTATCAGGCTAGTGCTCAGAACATAGATGTCTGCAAAAGAAATTAATTAAAAATGAAACAACCCTACTGAATATACAAGCCAAGTTTTTTTCCTTGTTATTTTGACTGCTACTGGCATGCATTGACAATACGGTGATCAGAATTCTGATTCTAGCGCTTAACTTGCCAGCAAATCAGGACCTTATGAATGACATGAAGGCACAACAGTTTAGATTCATAGATTCTAGGACTGGAAGGGACCTCGAGAGGTCATCGAGTCCAGTCCCCTGCCCGCATGGCAGGACCAAATACTGTCTAGACCATCCCTGATAGACATTTATCTAACCTACTCTTAAATATCTCCAGAGATGGAGATTCCACAACCTCCCTAGGCAATTTATTCCAGTGTTTAACCACCCTGACAGTTAGGAACTTTTTCCTAATGTCCAACCTAGACCTTCCTTGCTGCAGTTTAAGCCCATTGCTTCTTGTTCTATCCTCAGAGGCTAAGGTGAACAAGTTTTCTCCCTCCTCCTTATGACACCCTTTTAGATACCTGAAAACTGCTATCATGTCCCCTCTCAGTCTTCTCTTTTCCAAACTAAACAAACCCAATTCTTTCAGCCTTGCTTCATAGGTCATGTTCTCAAGACCTTTAATCATTCTTGTTGCTCTTCTCTGGACCCTTTCCAATTTCTCCACATCTTTCTTGAAATGCGGTGCCCAGAACTGGACACAATACTCCAGCTGAGGCCTAACCAGAGCAGAGTAGAGCAGAAGAATGACTTCTCGTGTCTTGCTCACAACACACCTGTTAATACATCCCAGAATCATGTTTGCTTTTTTTGCAACAGCATCACACTGTTGACTCATGTTTAGCTTGTGGTCCACTATAACCCCTAGATCCCTTTCTGCCGTACTCCTTCCTAGACAGTCTCTTCCCATTCTGTATGTGTGAAACTGATTTTTTCTTCCTAAGTGGAGCACTTTGCATTTGTCTTTGTTAAACTTCATCCTGTTTAACTCAGACCATTTCTCCAATTTGTCCAGATCATTTTGAATTATGACCCTGTCCTCCAAAGCAGTTGCAAAAAAAGCAGTTTAGTTTTTCATTACTGTTCCAAAACAGCTAAATAAAATGTACAGCATTGTAAATGCAAAACAACTTCAGACAAGTTAAAAATCCACCTTCTTATTCAGCAAAAGAAGGGCAGCCCTTGCTTATTAGAGGGGTTTTTAATATACCTGTATGCTGGTTTCAGTCAATCAAAATATTGAGTGGTTCCTTTTTTTGTCCCAGGGGTGCTTGTCTCTGGTGTTTGTAAAGCTGGCCCTTCATTATCAATCATAACATAAAATACTCATTTTTTAAAGAAAACAAAATCAAGTTTCACCAGTCTTCTGACTGATTATCCCATCACCACCTTTCACCCACTGGCTTTCATGTAGGTCACTCTTCTAAGATAATATAGGTTTATATGTTGGTATCTTTGTTTTTACCATATACAACATTTTTCTTCTCTGTAATTATGATTTTGGTAGATCGTTGATATACAAGGTCAAAACTTTGGGTCTTTAAAAGGAAACTAACTTTCTAAATCGTGCTTGTGTGGACTTTAGGTAGCAGCTTAGTCTTTATTAGGCCTTGTCTATACTTACAAATTTTGCTGACATAGTTACGTTGGTTGTGGTAATGGGTGTAGGTGTTCCTTACAACACACGTATGCTGTCAAAAGTAAACCCTACTACTGGAGATGTAGTTACACTGGCAAAAGGCCTTTTTGGCTGTCATAACTGCATCTGCACAAGGATGGTTTTGCTGGTATAGTTTTCAAAAGCTATTTTAACCACATTATGTTTTCTCTTCATCAGGGCAAGAGTATTCCAAGAGAAACATTTAAAAATGTATTTCTGAGCATGTTGACGGTTGGTTGGTTGGTTTGTTTCTCTCTGCGAGTGGTGGTGTAGGAGAGGGTTTGAATTGCATAGACCAGTGGGCCATGCCCTTCCTCAGAAGAAGGTGCAAAAGACTAACCACAGGGGAGTGGATGGACCTTCAAGTAGTTCTCAAGTTTCAGCTTTCATTTAAAAAAAAAAAAAAAAAAACCCTCAGATGCTCTCCGAATGTGATGTCCATGTGAATTTGTAGAGAGCCAATAGCTGAGGTGTGAACTCCCCATTCATTTCAGTAAGTGCCAATTCAAATGCCAACAGTATAATTATGCAGTGGCATAGGGAGCTGATATATAAATTAAGATGCATATGCATTTAACAAACACATGGAGGGCCCAAATTACTTCTTTTCCCTAAGGGGGCTCAGCTTTCAAAAATTTGGTAAATGTTGATTAGGCCCTAAAACCAAATAATAGAATATCAAGGTTGGAAGGGACCTCAGGAGATCATCTAGTCCAACCCCCTGCTCAAAGCAGGGCCAGTCCCCAGAGAGGGTTTGTTTTTATTTTTGTTTTTTTAAACCCCAGTTTCCTCAAGGATTGAACTCACAACCCTGAGTTTAGGAGGCTAATGCTCAAACCACTGAGCTATCCCTCCCCGTAATAGAA